CTGGTCCACCTACTATGTGCTAGGCATCACTGTCAAGAGGACATGTTCACTCTGTGAAGTTGGTCACTGTCACTTTGCCCATATAAAAACTGACTGGTCACTCTGAAAGTCTCTCTGTGTAGCCATTTTAGCTCTAATTATTAACAGTCTTTTAGATAGAACAGGGCTTTCAGTCCTGTCCATGGATCCATGCCATGTTGAGCCACAATTTTTCCAGGAACTTGAGGATCAAGTTTTCCCCATCCCTTTTCTTTTCTCTACCTGCATTTATTGTTTATTTAACATCTCTAAATGCCTCGCTGAGATGATTCATTATGATTCACACCTAAAAGAGCGGAAGGAAGAGAAAATGCAGAATAAAGGGCCTTTGTTTCCCCGACTCCACCAACACTGGCAATTTCTTTTCTTCTGTCGAGTGATGCCGTGAAGCATTTTTAAGATGACATTAAGTAACATCCTTTCCCCCTCTTCTTCCAGATCACCTGCCGGGCCACTTTTAACCACCCTATTTGGGAAGAATATAAATCACACGTTCTCTTGTCAGTTTGAATCATTGAAGCCTAAGCAGTGGTTATATGATTGTTAGCACCTTTAAAACTGTGATAAGCTCATTTCTAGATGAATAGGCTCCGTGAAATATTATTCAGGTGTGAATCTATTTTTTGATATAAAAAAGAAATCCTCCCCCCACCCCAAACACATCTAGTTTCAAGTATGACCAGTATATTTCACTCTTGATTTAAAATGAAATTGAGTGGGCCTTTAAAAAAAGACTTAAAAAAAAAGAAAGAAACCAAAAGCCATCAGAGCTGGAAGAGAAAGGACCTGCTTAATCCATTTTAATCCATAAAGCATTTATTAAGGGCCTCATAAATGCCAGGTTCTGTGCTAGGTGCTGGCAAAAAGGGAAACTATCCCTACCACCTAGAAGTTTGCATTCTATTAGACGGAAACCACTTGTACACTGATACACAGATACAAAGCAATACAAAGTTATATTAGAGAGAAGATCCCTAACAATTGAGGGAATTAGGATAGGACTCATGTAGGAGTCAAAACATGAACTGAGCCTTGAAGGGAAGCTAGGTTGTTAATAATAATAATGATAATAATAAAAATGATGTTGATGATGATGACTATCGTTATTATTATTACCAGCATTTACCCAGCCCTTGATCCTCATTTGATCCTCATGACAACCCTATGAGGTAGATACTGTTATTATTCCTATATTACAGATGAGGAAACTGAGCCTGAGAGAGGTTAAGTGATTTGCCCAGCAAGTAGTCATCCAATCTTTTCTTGAAGACTGACAGTATGGTGTTCCCAATATGGGATCTGATGTCATTCTCTCTAATGGGCTATAGGTTCTGCTTTTTCAGATAACAAAATCAAGGACTAGAGATTACCGTGACTTACCCAAGGCTACACGGTTTCAGAACAAGAATTTGCACCCCAGTCTTTGCATTCCAGATGCAGGGATCTTTCTGTTACACCACCCCAGATCTGATCAGAAAAAGCCCAGAATTACCTCCTCTACCTAGAGAAAATCATAGTTGACTAGGCCCCTGAAGATTTCCTTGGGGACAAATGACTACAATAATTCCAATTCAGCACACCTTTCCCAAGATGCCTATCTAGACCACATTCCTCAAAAGTCCAAAAGGTCCAGTTTCCTAGGACCACTGTGGTCAAGGACATATACATTAAACACTTTTGTGTCTGCTTTCTTTTTTTCTCTTTCATTTTTAATTCTAGTTTTCCTTACCTAGTGCCTAGCACCTAGTTCACATTTCTTTGCTCTGGGCTTTCAAAAGCTACCCTAAAAATTAGTGTAGGAATGGCACCAGAGAGGAAGTGGGCAGGATACAATTTACCTGAGCCTTAACTTCCTTATCTGTAACGTGTGCGTAATATTTGCTCTATTGTGCAAATAATATGCTCTACCTACTCTGGGTGTGGCCCACTGAAAGTGTTATCAGACTTGATTGATGTGTTGGCAAATCCTCTTTAACTATCTCTCTTTCTCTTGCTCTCTTTCTGTCTCTCTGTCTCTCTCTGTCTCTGTCTCTCTCTCTCTCTCTCTGTCTCTCTCCTCCCCTTTCCCTCTCCCCTCTATTTATCTCTCAAACACTCTCTCTCACTTCCTTCTCTCTCTCTTTTTCTCTAAATGTATGATGCTATTATCATTCATTCTACCAAAGGAGATAAGAAGAGAGGATGGTATTTAATAAACATTTATTGGTAGTGATGACAGGTGCTCAGTAAACACCTGATGAAAGAATGCCTTTATTTGGCATTCTCCTCTGAAATGAAAAACAAAGTAGATGATTTCTCATTTAAAAGAAGATGTATCTAACTAACTGCCTCCTGAAATATGTCAGGATAAGTCAGGTTGACATTTTCAATTAATTTTTATGCTGTCAATGTCAATTTTCAGTGTTTATGATAAATTGATATCTCCTACCATTCAAACACCATGTTTACCTTTTCCCTGAGAACTCACATCTAAAGAGATCATTTTAAAATAGGTCTTGTAAATTTTTTTCTCCCTTTTTTATTATACTTTCCTCCTTTAATGGAGGTATAGTTCGTGTTTGGGTGAGTGAGGGAGGAGAGCAACTATCTCAATGTCCTAAGCATAGCAAGATAAAATCCGGACTTTTACATATTTTCCTTAAACTATTTTAATTGATGTCTTTTGTTTCACATTACCTTCATTCCCAAATATACTCCTCCCCCATCCACTACCAATCCCCTTTAGCAAAGACCAAAAAGAGAGAAAGAAAACAAGTTTTTCAGTTAGATTCAACAACATATTAACCAAATGTGATAGTATATGTATATTTAATGCCCAGAGATTCAATGGCTACCTCTTCAGAAGAGGAGGAAAAGTGCTCTTTCTGTCTCAATCTCTAAGAAGGAGAAAACAAATTTGATATGTTAGGTGGAGATTACACAGATAGGAAGGGGGACTTTGGCTTGGAGTCTGGAGGTTTAGAACAGATTGAGGAATGTGCTGGGAGTCCAGAAAAAATAAAGAACTGAATTGCTGAGTAGCCCTGAAGGCTTATTTTCAATTATATCCAGTGTAGCATTTATTAAATGCCTACTATGTGCAAAGCACTGTGCTAGTTATTGGAGATAAAAATGTAAAAGTCTCTTCCATTAAGGAGTTCGCATTCTCCTGAGAGATAAAATGCATCTATAGAGTAGATACAACTTAATTTCAGAAGTAAAAGAGTACTTATAAAAGGAGGTGGGAAGTATTGGGGGAGAGAATAAGCAGGCAGGGAAGGCTCTAGTTACGGAGAAAAGCTTGAGGAGAAGCTCAGAAAAACTAATATCTAAGGGGCAGAAATGAGGAGAATAACCCAAGTAACCAATCATAAAGGGTTTATATACATGTACCATGTACCAAACACTGCCATAGGTCCTCGGGAAATGCACAAAGGTGGAATATGGAGACAGATAATTAAATAAAAATAAAGACCAAATTTTTTTTTCTTAATCAAGGGAATAGCACTAAAGACTGGGGCGATCTGGAAATGCCTAACATAGAAGGTGACATTTGAGCTGAATTTTTATATATTTTATGTTTAATTTATGGAATAAAACAATCATCCCCATAACATAGTATAACAAAAAAGATGATTACACACGAAACTGCAAATCTACTATGTACAACTTGCTTTTCCTTTTAAATATCCAACAAAGTTATACTGTAAATTTCTTTTTTTTTAGCTGAATTTTTTGAATGAATTAGGAAATCTAAAAAAGGATAAGGACTGTTTCATTTTTGTCTTTTCCTCTCCATGGTCACATTAGGCACTTAATAAATCTTTGAGGGTTAATTGAGAGAATAAGGAGGTAGAACATTCTAGGCATGGTAGGCAGCCAAGGGAAGTTCCAAAGAAGACAGGCTAGGTCTGAATGCTTCTATTACGTCTTTCCAACAATATTCTTCAGCCTAGGAGTAGAAGTGAAGAAAAAAGTTGTCAGGAATGATCTCCACATGGAGGTGGTAATGGTGAAAACTCAGAAGGGAACAGAAAGCTGGCTAAACATCGCAGCCAAGGTCACATATTTGCACTCACTGAGCTTGAGGCTAGTACCTATGCCTGCTAACTCCCAGCTCTTCTACCTTCTGAGAATTTCTCTCTAGTCCTCAGTATATCATCCTTATTCCTGCTTTATACCACCACCAGGCTTGTTTTCTGATGGCATACCTTCCTGGAGGAAATTACATTAAAACTTTCCATTATGGTGGTGTTTTTCAAAAGATCTTGATTTTGTTAATTCCCCATACTAAAAAATGTGATTTTCCCAGTACTTGAAAAAAAAATCACTGGGCTTTGTGAGAAAAACTTCTTTGTGAAATGTTCCTAGAAGTGTTTGTGCAGTATTCAAACACTTTAGCATAATGGAATGACAGTCTCAAATCCGGTTTGAGAAAGCAAAACGTACAAGCTCATTATTGTGTACCAGACACGTTATTTTTTTATATCCGTGAAATTTCTGCACTGCACATGACATTCTGGCTCTGAGGACTAATAAGGCACAAGAGCACATGATTCACAGGATGCCAAAACCTTGCAGAGCTCTCCCAGCTAGAAGAATGACACCTTAGACATTGGTTGCTGCCAGGACAATTTGCGTGACTGGAAGAGAAAATCCAAAATTGGTCTGGAGAGTTTGGGCTTAGAGAGGAAGACTGCAAAGGATTTGGAGACTTTGTGTTACAATATAACCAGAGAGTCAGAATGTAAATAAGTATCCTGCCCTGAGGCTTTTTTTCAAATACACATCCAGAGGGAGCTCCCGATGCCAATTCTTCATGCACTCCATCTGTTTCTCTTCTTTCCATGGTATGCTTTCCCTCTGTTGGCCTCACTTGGATATCTTATCTAGGAAGCAAGGTAGTGGTTTTAACATACTGGTTTTGCTCTTTGAGGAATGCCAGCATTATCCCCCTAAAACATCTATTTATCTTTCACCAGGTGACCAGCCCCACATGTTCCAGCTGCTGGAGATGGCTTCTCGCCTGAGGGACAGTGCAGAATTGTTCCAGTCAGATGAAATGCGACCTGCTAACGATCCCAAAGAGAGAGCCCCCATCCGAGTCAGGATGCTGAATGATATTCTCCAAGACCTGGAGAAGAATTTCTTAGTACAGCAGGTGCCTCCAGGTTTTTACCGGTAGGAACATCTACTCTAAATTTCATTTATTTCTGCCTACTGGGTTGAATTGTTTCTTGTTTTTGGAACTAGCATACCCCACCAATGCCTACACTTGACATCTGCCTCTTGAATGAAAACCAGTTGCATGTCGTAACTACTTAAGCCTCATGGTTTTTTTTTTTTTTATCTGTAAAATGAGGAGGGTGGACTCAGTGATCTCTAAGGCCCCATCTAGGTTTGAGATTCTATCCTATCTCTGATACTCACCACCTAAATGACCTTAAGCAAATTACTTAACCTACTGTGATGTTTAAAATGTTTTAGATACATAGTTTCTAGGTAATTAATCATTTTATTAATAATGCCAGCATTTTATTAACAAAAGAGGTCAGTGGCATTCTCAAATGCCAAAGACCCCTCATGGCAGTGGACTCAGTTTATATGTCCTTGGAAGAGTGGGTATTCCTGAGGGTGGTGATCAACTCTGATTGGTTAACAATTAGTGAGAGAATGAATATGACAATGAGAATTGGGCTCACTCCAATGAGGGGCTGAGAGAGTTACATCAGGTCACTCTTGGACAAAAAGACAGTCTCTGCACCCAGATCACTCCCAGCCTTGGGCAATCTAGACAAAGAACCTACCTCCACTCAGACTTGCTTGAGTGGAACACAATGGGCAGGAATTAACCTTAAATTAGATGGTCTAACTGGGGTAAATTTTTGGCTGAGGTCAGTGATGTCCTTCAAAGAACGGTCTGTGGAACAGTGAAATAGGATGGGGAAAAAGCCTGGATCTCTCCCATAATTGGTTATTATTGATAATTTCTCTCACTCCTTTGACCTTAGTTCTCTCATTTTTAAGATAACAGGGATGGTCTTTGATATTCCTTCTAGCTCTGTATCTGTGATCCTATGTATTTTCTTGTTGATGGTAAGTTTATAGTAATAACTTTTGTTTAATGACATTTTTGATAACGAAATGAGAAGGCTTTGTAATACTAACAAATAGGCATGTATGGAAAGGAAAATCTCATTACCCAGAAAGTTATGATGAATTCCTGACTCAATAGAGTCTTATTATTTTGATAATCATTACTCCGTAAAATCTTGCATTTGGTTTCTGGGTAATAGCACTATAGCACTCTCATGAATGTGGGATCTGGTTCATGTGGGCTTTCTTTCCCACAATTGTCTCATCTATAAAGTGGGGAAAATAGTTCCTACCTCACAAAGTTATTGTGACATAATATGTAAACTGCTTTGCAAATACTCAAGTTCTATTTAAATGCTAGCTATTATCATCATTGTTATTATCATTATCCATGGGGGCCCATTTTGTGCTTTTTTCATCCATGTCCTCCCATAAGTTCATCATGAAGTCACCTAACATTTGGGTCTTGGGGTCAAGGTGCTGGTGGTGGTGTTGATAGTGTTGCTCCAACATTACACAGTTACCAAGCCATGAAACAGCTTCTATGTATTTTTTTTTCTAAAATGTTTGATTCCCCCCCCCATTCCCAGGGATGTAATAAATTAATTTATGTAGTTTACTATCTTCTATGGCTATTCCCTTTATATGTGTGCCATAGGTCATGAGAAGCCTATGATGTAGTAAGTAGGTAGAGAGCTGGACTTGGAATTATCAAAGTCTAGTTTCAAATTCCACCCCTAATAATGGGGAGATCCGTGATAATTTTTTTTGTTTTGTTTTATTATACTTTGCTTCCTTGAACTCAGACACCTCATTAAAGATGAAAAGCTATAAACAGATTATATCTGTGTTGCTGAAAAGGCTTTAGGAACCATAGGTCATAGATGTAGTGCTAGAATAGGTCTTATAGCTAATCTAGGTCTTCCAGATAAGGAAATTTAGGCCTAGAGAGTTTAAGTGATTTTCCCAAGGTCATGCAAGGCAGTATGTGGCAGATTTTGGATTTGAACCCAGGTCCTTTGATTCCAAGTCCATCATTCTTTCCATTTTACATTGCTATCACCATAGTTAGGAAATAGTAGATTGTTGGCATATTCATATCTGTGCGTCTAGATTCAGTGGATTTATTTTTAAGTATAACTAACCTTTATGCCACAAATTAGTAAATGCTGATTTCAGAATTCTGATCCTATTCTTGAAAGATGTAGCAGATGGCACAACTGCATATAGTTTGGTAGACTCTGTATTCTAGATTGTAAAACTCATCCTTGAAAGTACAAAACAGGAAATTTTTTCAAGTTGCATCATTTTACCTCCCTTAAACCTAGGAAGTAGAGACTGTTAATTAAGCGAGAAATTTCCAGGATGGTGAATTAGTAATGTGCCAGGAAAATTATGAAAGAACAGGATTATTCATTAATAGAACCATAACAACATGGAGACAAGTGATAAAGTTTTGAAAAGAAATCATGGAAAAGGAAATGTAGTGAGCAGTAGTTCATTTCATTTTTCAAGCTAAGCAGAAAACTCTGGAGATGATATTCACCCAAGAAGCAAACACTCTTTAGTGTGATGGGATAATGAGAATTCTCATCAAAGCAGGAGGTCAAAAGGGATTTACCTCATAAAAAAAGTTGTTGATAAAAGCTGACTGTGTAAAGCCAAATATTGCATTTTGAAACTTGCTTATGTCCTTATATTTACTGCCTATTACAGAAATGTCAGTGAACACTAAAACATATTCACTTGGGAAGATTTTTATTCACTTTAATGAATATCAGAATATTTCAAAGCTTGGAGCCCCCAGTGGTGTAGCTAATACCAACCGAAAATTATGTAAAATAAGTTGTGTTAGGTACTAGGAATAAGGAAAGGTATGAGTTGGAGTCCTTACCCTCAATCACCTTAGAATCCAGTTGTTGAGATGGAGAAAAGACATGAAAAGACATAAATAATACATGGGAGTAGAGTCTAAAAGCCAATGCATGATATAGAAAGTGTACATTATGAGAGGTCAGAAAAGTGAGAAATTGCTATGGGCTGGAATAGTCGAGGAAGATTTTTTTGAGAAGGTGTCAATTCAGATGGGTTTTGAAGGAAAGATAGTAACAAGTATGGGAATGGTATTAAAGTAAAGATAACTAGTCTAACAAAGGCTGAAGCAGGAGTCTATTCATATTCTTCTTCAGGAACAATGGGGTGAATAGTTTGACTGAAAGGTAGATTAATGAAAGGGAGTAATGGTGGGAAGGTTAGAGTCAAATTGTGGAAGGTCTTGAATGTCATGCCAAGTTATTTGGAATTTCTTGTTTGTACAACAAACAATCATCTTTGTTGAGACTTTTGTGGGGGAAGAGGGTAGTAATACATACAAATTTAGGGAAATATTAATCTGATGAAAATGTTTGAGATGATAGATTTAGATAGAAGTTAGATAGTTGAGCCCCCTCATTTTTCATATGAGAAAACTGATACCACACAAGTTGATACTGATACAACACTCACACTTATACTCACACCAATAGTAAATGACTGTGCCAGGGATTTGAATCTAAGTCCTCTGATTCCAATTCTAGATCTGTCTCTTTCTACTGTACCATAATGAGGGGAAAAACTGGTATTTGGAAAACCAGTTGGATGGTCAGTGATGAAGGGAATGGAAAGAAAGTTTGGAAGGGATAGTTGACAAGCTGTGTTGACTGTTTGGAATGTGAGCTTGTGATTTAATGTTATTTTTTTTTTTTGAGGCAGAGCCAAGATGGCAGAGAAAAGGCAGATACTCACCTGAGCTCTCCCCAAGACTCCTCTGGACACCTTTAAATAATGCCATAAAACAATTCCTAGAGTGACAGAACCCAAAAAAGGACAGGGAGAAATAATTTTCTAGCCAAAGACAACTTAGAAGGTTGGCAGAAAAAGTCTGTCACACTGGGGTGAGAGTGGAGCACAGTCCAGCACAGGCTACACTACCACAGAGTATGCTCCAGCAAAGCAGGAACAGGGCTTTGGAGTCTCTGAATCTATAGTGTCAATGGCTGGCTCTGTAGCTCCCAGGCCACTGATGATAAGGGGGTTGAAACAACTGATCAGAAGGAGATTATAGGGGTCTTTTTGCTGGCACTGGGGTCAGGACTCTGTTGCTTTGCCCATAATCAGATCTGGGTTTCAGTCCTTGGTGGCCCCAGGGCAAAGAGGAGCACTAGCATACCAGAGCTTGCAGGGGCCACAGAGGAACAGGGACACTCATCATGGGTCCAGGGCAGAAAAGAGTACTTGTGCTCATTCACAGACCAAAGCACAGGCCAGGAGAAGAGTAAACACCTCTCCTTAGATCATACTACCTTGGGAACGACTGGAACAACTGGAAACTTACAGATCTCTAGAAGAATCTCTGATAACGGCTGCACAAAAAAACCTGAAGCTTAGGATAGTGCACCATCCACTCTGGAAGCAAAGCCCAACTTTAACAAAAAGTTAAAAATCAAGAAATAGACTGGGAGAATGGGCAAACAACAGAAAAAAATTCTGATCATAGAAAGTAACATTGGAAGTTACAAGAAAGATCAAAACACAAACTCAGAAGAAGATAACAAAGTCAAAGCTCCTACATCCAAAACCTCCAAGAAAAATATGAATTGGTTTCAGGCCATGGAAGGGCTCAAAAAGGATTTCGAAAATCAAGTAAAAGAGGTGAAGTAAAAACTGGGATGAGAAATGAGAGTGATGCAAGAAAATCATGGAAAAAAGAGTCAACAGCTCAGTAAAGGAGACACAGACACACAAAAAAAAAACTGCAGAAAATAACACTTTAAAAAGTAGAATAGGCTGAATGATAAAAGAGGAACAAAAAACAATGAGGAGAAGAATGCCTTGAAAAGCAGAATTGGAATGGAAAAATGGAAAATGGAAAAAGACATACAAAAATTCACTGAAGACAACTCTTTAAAAAAGGAGGATGGGCCAAATGGAAAAGGAGGTACAGAAGCTCACTGAAGGAAATAATTCCTTAAAAATTATAATTGAGCAAGTAGAAGTTAATGACTTTATGAGAAATCAAGAAACAATAAAATAAAATGAAAATAATG